AGGGGGTACGGGGAAAAGGTAACAAGAATAGCACAGTTCTCTCTCTCTCTCTCTCTCTCTCTCTCTCTCTCTCTTGGAACGAACGTAACGTTTCCATAACGTTATTGTATCGGTTCACAATATTCCCCGAGCCACGATGGTGCGCCGATGGGATTTTCGTTTCGTTTCGCATCTCGTTGATCGTCAACTTTCGCCGCGTATAAACACACAGGGCTGTGTACTACAAATGGCGGGGTGATGAATGTTTGCCATGAGCATCGGAATACGAATGTTGCCTAGAAATTATTCATGGTCGCCGATATTAAAAGCCGGCTCGGTGGGAATCAATTGCGTGGTGGGAGGGGGTGGGGACGTCGATATTCGTTCCGGCTTGATACAGGAATAAACGGCGAGACTGTGGTCACAATGGGACGAAGAATGTGGGAAATTGAAAAATCGATCATCGATAAACGTAACGTAAACGCAGTCGTTCGGGTATGAATGAAAAAGCACGAGCTTTTTTCACTTTTCTTTCTTTCTTTTTCTTTTTTTTTTTTTTTTGATTCTCTGATGGAATCTTCTGGATATCGAATGAAGGCTCGAATTTGTTCAATTTCTCCTGGAAATAAAGGTGATATGAAACTTTATATGCGAACTTATTATATCGAGAGATAAAGTTAACTTTTTCAACCTTCTAACTTTCACGCGTTTGAATTAAATTTCTTCGTCAGAATCATTTTCCAATCGAAGCTATTAGTTTCAAAATCGAAGCTTTACAACGATTCTTAAAAGTGAAATCTTATAAAAGTACAATTTTTATCATCGCTTTATTTGATATCTTGCTGTTTCTACCTAATTTGTCGTGCTTCTCGTTTAAATAATAATTGGAATAATTTATACGCGTGTGTGATCTATTCCTGTGATTATTTTTTTTTTTTACTGTAACCAAGTATTTGCCGATATTTCGTTAATTCGAGGATCATCGGATGTGTTGAGATAGGATTTCTCTAAGAGCCAATTATCGTTAAGAGGATGGCGCGCGTCTTGAAAAAAATTTGAAAACTTCACTCACCCACTACTCGGGTCGACGTTCCACCACGCGGACAAATTTCGAAATCTTGCTTCTTTGCGGTGGCCTTCCAGGATTTTGCACAGTCTCTTTAAACGGCCCGTTCCTTCACTTCATGTCACGGTAATTGCTGTCACAGAACACTCTTATAACCGAGTTGCATCTTCCTCACTTCCGACCGGCAACCTCCGTCCAGGGTTATCATTTCTGCAAATAAGAGAGAGAGAGAGAGAGGATAACATCTCCTCCGAAGATTGCGTTTAACGACGAATTAAAAGGAACAATTAAACTGATCTAATTGAAAAATGAATTTTCCTTGGTTAAGTTGGATCGTAAAATCAGCATTCAGTTGTATCTCAACATTTTAAATTTTAACATCTCGCAAAAAATATGACGAGAATATTAAAATTGATTAAACAATTTCAAAATAAATTCCAATTTATCTCTTGCTGCACATTCAATAAGAATCGAAGACAAATCTATTTTTCTACAAGTATGAAAAATAAATATAATAAAATAGAAATATGAATATCAACGATAACAGTTCAGTGGTGGGCACACGAAAAATTGGATATTTGAAAAATATCCTACGCTATTTCTTCCACGAAAAGTTCACGAAGCGTCGTCCATATTAAAATCGTTAACTAAAACATTTCGTGGTAAACTGTACACACAATGCAACAATTTCCAACAATTCTCCGCAACCACAAAGGTACACAACTTCTTCCACAAGTGCCCGAAGTGCATACACATTATCGACCATTTATGAGCGAGTAATCGAAACTTGGGCCAAAGAGAATTACTTCTTCCACGTGTCGAGGGAAGGAGGACAAATTCCGAGCAAAAGTTCCGAGCCGAACCCAGGGGAAAGAGCTTGAGAAGCTTTACAACTCTGACAATCTTAAATCGACAGAACTACCGTGTCCAGCAATGGTGCGAAGAGTAGTCGGGAAATACGAATAAAACGTGCGGAAGAGGATGGCCGAGGGGATGGACGAGCGAGGGAAGTAGTTAAATATATTATCGTGGGTGACTACGCTTTGACACTATCCATTGTCTTTTTTCATGAGTTCGCATGCCCTCCAGTGAATCGATTTCGTAAGGGAAGGAAGGCTAGGATAAAGGGATGGACGAGAATTATGGTGGGGTGGACCACGTAACGTGGCAACTTTGTTATTTTCGTAAAAAGTTACGTGGATTGAATTAAAAAAAAAAAAAAAAATAGGATTCTTGGAAGTTATGACATTTTATCATGTATTTCTGTAATCGGTACAATTGAAATTTTTGAAAGGAAATGACACGGTTATTAGAAAAAGAATCTATCAGTTTAGATAGGAATTTGGCAACGATTCATCTTATATAAAGTGAGTAAATAAGACGATAAAAATTAATTAACCGAAAAATAATTAAATAATTAAGGTAATAGAATAGTAAAATGTAGAAGTAAAATATAAAATAATAAAAGAAGGCGTTAACCAATAATCGGAATAATTCTTCTGATTAACTTTATAAATTTTTGAGTATGAATATATTTTACGATAATCTCGATTACATTTGATAGAGAAATATTTTGATTTAAACGAAGCCTGGTGGAACGGTTCCAGAGATTATAGGAAGAATTATTTCCAACTGGATGATAATGCACCAAGCATACTGTTTTGATTATTTTATAGATCCCGATGGATTATATCACAGATATCGATAATTTACGTATAATACGTATAATTCACTATATTTATACGATCATAGCTGGATACAGACCAATCGAAGAAACCAAATATAAAAGTATCCAAAGCTTTCCAATCATACCCAACGAAAACCAGTAGTGTTAATCATATATAACATTAATACAGGAATAACATAGCTCAACCTAATTAAGCCTCATTAAAAATGAAAGATGTACGGATTATAATTTTATAATTCGTCCAAAAATAAGTCCTCGCGTAGAGAAATAGCCTGGATCGGGTTGAAACGATCGATGATCCTTCCTTACATTAAAAATCCCATCCCTAAAATAACAACGAACGAAAGGTGAAGAGCGTTAACGTCTCGATTACGAGGCCAGACGATATTTTTTTTCCCCCTCGCTGTCAAAAGAGCACACCCTCGCGCGACCGGTTTGGGAACCTCTGCCCTGTCTGCCTCGTGCCTCGCGCCATTAAAACTGTACGTGCGAGCACACGCGTCCGTCTGAAACGCTCGAAAATAATGAATACTTAAACGCGCGAGAGATGTTCCTCCCTCTCGTTTTCTCGTCGCGAAGAACTAACTTTTTATCCGGTCCACAATCACGGCCCCGAAACCTGTCCGCCAAAAGAATCGACAGGCCGCGTTAATTTAATGAAAAATTCACGATCGACGGCGGCCGCCGCCGATCCGCGACGAAGAAGCGGCGAGGAGTGACGAAAAAAAAGGAGAAAAAAAAAAGAAAAGGAGGAAGAAGAGAGGAGGGGGAAAAAAGAGAGAGGAAGAGAAAAGCAACGTGTAGAATTAATGACGGCGTTCTACCCCCTTGTCGTCTACATCCCTCCACCCTCTTTCTGTGTGAACCCTTCGGCCGGTATTCCGCCGAAGGCGCAACGTATCGGTAGACAAAGGGACCTGTCTCGAATAACGTTAAAACAGTGCAAGCAACCGGTGTAGGTAACAATCGGAAAGGAGAGGAGAGAGAGAAAGAAGAGAGAGAGAGAGAGAGAGAGCATCGCGGATCCTCGGGGGGTGGAAAATACCTACGCACACCCAGCCTGCCTGTTTCTCGCCTGTCTCGAATCGAAGAGTCGCGTCGGGGGTCGCGATGCTGCTCTCTCTCTCTCTCTCTCTCTCAGGCACGAGAGTCTCGTCTCGTCGTTCTCTCTCCCGCCAATCGAGTTCCACCAGGCTTCCACTCCCCTCGAAAGAAGAAAAAAAAGAGAGAAAAAAGAAGGGGGACTCGGCTTGCATTTCAGTAAAGAGCCAACCCATCCGCGTGCATGGACAATGGGACGAGACGCCCCGCTAGACGGCCGACAACGCCCTTTCTTTTTTCGACACACGCGTTCGCCTGCGTGCGTCGTGAGCGTGTGCGTCGCCTACGGGGCGTAGTAGTGGTGTACAGTGTCTTCTTTCTTTCTTTCTTTCTTTCTTCTTCCTTCTTTTTTTCCACCCCCTCTCCTCACGTGTGTGTCTGACTTCCTTTTTAAGAGAGCTACAACGACGTCTCGCCCGCCCCCCCACCTTCCCCCTATTCGCGTGCTTTCCGGCACAGAAAACAATTTTCTGCGCGCCACCCTACCCGCCACTACCCCCGCCAACGCAACCCCCTGCACGGCATCGCCCGTGTAAATTATACACCAGGAGCCACCGATTTCTGACTTAATGACGCGAGCTGTCGCTCCCTCCCCCCCTCGCTTACTTCTAATTACCGGCAATTAGTAGTCCCCCCTTAACGTGGCGCGTATCATCGGAAAATTCGAGGCGATATCGTTCTTTTCTTCCTCTTCTTCTTTTTCTTCTTTGTTTTAATCTCGAGCGGAGAAAAAGGAGAAAGAAGCGCGTCTCGAGTTCGTCGAGTTGTCATTTATTTTACAAGAGATCGCCTCGAAGAACGAAGTCTCTCTCGACGCGTGTGTATTATTATTCACATCGTGATTTCGAATTTCGAAAAATCCGCTACTCGAGTTTGGACTTGGACTCCACCGTCGTGGCGAACGAAGAAGTGCGACGAGTTCTTCATCCGAGGGCTTCGTATAATCACGACACAGTCGTTGAAATTATGAGCTCAACAATGGAGGAACGTTACACTCCCACTCGAATTTCACGCGCTCGCGGTTTCTTATTCTTCGGGCTGCGACGTCTCGAGACGTGGTTGCACGAATCAACCGAGCAACCATTTTTAGCGCTCGTATATTCACACCTTCCGCGCGAGGGCCCACGTGAGCAGCCTACGAAACGGGAAGCCCCTGAATTTCTTTTGTTCCTGAATCGTGGCGCAACTAACTCCTTCCCTCGTCGTCCGGCTTGGTCGTTGCTCGTTAAAAAACGAAGGGGCTCGCTCGTTTGTCCGTGCTTTATTTTCATTTCGTTTCCCTCCCCTCTCCCCGCGTTTTCTCGCGCCCCTCGAAAATAATGTGCCACCGTTTACCACACAATATTATGTCTGGATACGTGGAGGACACGGGGAGGGGGGACGGGTAAAAGTAGAGAGCGAACGTCCAGGATTTCCACTGCGAAATTTTTACTTTCCTTCAGCGTCTGCTGGCGAAACAAAACTGTCGTTGGTTGGGAGGAGGGGGCTCCTCTCATCGCCGGCTTTTGCAATTTTCGCTGCCAAAACGGCCTTCGATTGAATGAAATCTAGTCGAGATTATTTTGCGAGAGAGAGAGAGAGGAGGGGTACTTTCCTACCGTAAATTACTAACAATGTATACGTAAACG